CTCCCCTTTCCCCCCCTTGACAGCCAACAATCAAAAAAAGAAAAGAGCCCGGATTTGGGATCCTCTCCCGGAGCGCGGAAAAACCCCACTGCCATTGTTTTTTTTTTTTTTTTGCCATGACCGGGTCACCCTAGAGTATATTGGCATTGAACAAGAACTCAAATTAAACCAATTATTTTAAGACGTTAAGTAGCCATCGAAGCCGGCATAAGTCACATAACTAGCTTTTTGCTTTTTTGTTCATAACTAACTGTTTTAACTTTTAATTCTCTATATCACAAGGTCATCATGCAAATTATTAAAAAACAGATAGCCTGTAAGAAATTAAGTTGAGAAAGGCTTTTCATTAAAAAAAATAATAATAAAGAATTTTAAGGAGTCACGAAATTTTACAAAAGACAAAAAAAAACAATACAGTGTGTCACACACATGGAACACACACACCTCTCTCTCTCTCTCTCTCCCTCTCTCTCACTCTCTCTCTCCCTCTCTCTCTCTCTCTCTCTCTCTCTCTCTCTCTCACACACACACACACACACACACACACACACACACACATTTAATTTCGGATTTTGAATCATAAAAAAAAAAATGAAAAAGTTCATACAGCAACAAATGTGGGATTGCCTGAATGTGGTCTATTTTCAGCAGTGACAGAGCGTAGCGCAGCTGGTAGACCTATGAACTTTTGGAACACAGACCTGAGTTCGAATCCCAAGAGGAATCAGATGAGGAAATAATAAATATACCTCTGATTCTCTGAATAAAAATCCGGACTATTACAAATTTACAACCCTCAGATTCTCAGAATGAGTTCTGGACACAGGTCAGACCGGGACTCTGAGAAAAGTGTACACTGGGACACTGCTCCCAAAGCAGGTTCAGATATCATCAGCAAAAAAAAATCTGTTCTTAGCATGAAACCTGGACCAGGTTCATGCTATCATAAGCTTATGAAGAATCGACCACATTCTTCCTATAACCTAACAACGAAATATCCCAGACAAAAAGTGACAGTGTAAACCTCAGAAATTTTCTTTTTTTCAGTCTTTTAGACTTTTAGACTTTTAGTCTGTTTTAGACTCTTTTTCTTTTTCTTTTTTTTCCATCTGTGAGGGTTTATGCCTCAGCATAGGGCCGTGCAGCAGGCGCGTGCCTGCCCAAGGGAAGGCGGCCCCCCTGAATCTCCTTTCTTTTTTTTTCTTTTCCCTCCCCCCCTGAATCTCAATGCGCCCTGATTCCTGAACTCATCATTTTTTTTTTTTTTCATTATCTTGGTCGGCGCCAGACAGTTGCCACGCTATGTTGCACGCCTGGCCGCGGCCTAGGCTGATGACCGAATCGGCCCGGTTCGGCCTAGGCCGACCTGCCGAGTTCGGTACATCATTTTTTTTCCCCATTTTTTACGTGTAAAAAAAAAAACAAAAACATATGGGCGTGTAGGGCTGGAAAAGCCCTACACGCCCATATTTTTTTTTTGCGTGTCCGACCTTCGGCGCGACGCAGAAAAAAAAAAAACAGAAAA